CCTGCTCACCAGCAGATCTCGGGTCACGACTCACACAAAGAGCGAAATTGAAAGGGCCGGTTCCCAACCCCGAGCCCGGCTGGCACCCCCGCCCGTGACCCCGCGCAGCCCTCGGGAGCGGGGTCCACTAACCATGGCGCGTAGAGCACAACAAGGGGAGGCTGTCTGGGGCGGGGACGGGGGGAGAGACCCATGGGGAGCGAGGAAGAGGAGGAGAGACTGTCAGGAGCCACAGCAAGGTCTTGGGAAGATGAATTTTGGGACCTTCTGAAGGAGATGCTGAACAGACGCACAAACGCCTTCAGGAGAGCCGCCACACGCACGGTTAATCATCGGGCCTTGCAAGTGGAAAGCCTCCGTGGGCAGCGACTTCCTGGGCCTCCCCGATCCCAGCCGTCCCCGGGTTCCGCGTGCAGAGGGCCTCCGTCCCCACACGGCACGTTTCCTCCCCGCACGCCGACCCAGGAGCAGACTCTGGGGTCAGGCCAGGGCAGCTGAGCAATCACACAGCTGAGGGCCTTGGCTGAACCTTGGTGATGCATGCATTTTTAAAGACCGGAACGTTCCATCTGTCGGCAAAGGCTCCGCACCTGGGCCACGGCAGCACCTGCCCCTCAGTGCCCTGCAGGAGCCCCGCGGACCTCCGGTCTGTGCCGCCACGGTGGCCTGCTCTCTCTCCCTCCTGCCCTCGCCACCTCCTGTCGCTTTCGGCCTAACGCCCTCTTTCTCTTCGTCCTCAGGGAGGCCCTCTGTGCTGCTTAGCCTAGGTCCCGCAGAGCGCACCCCACCGCGCCCCCGTCCCTGCTCGCGCTCACCACCAGCACACCGCCTGCCTGTCCCTCGGGGCGCAAGCTCCAAGAGGACAGGACTGCTTCGGTCCTCTTCTCTCTCCATCTCGATGCTCGGTAGAGGGTGCAGCACATGATAGGAGCTCCCCGAATATGTGCCGAGTGAACGAATGATTTTCCTTCTTTGGCGCCTCTGTGGCTGGCCGCGCCCCTTCTCACGGACACTTCCTGCAGATGGTTTGCCCCTCGGTGTCTGCGCGCGCAGGTCCTGTCCCAGCAGTCCTCGCGGCGGCTTCGGGTCTCTGCGGGTCTCTGCTTTGATGGTGACGACGGGGACAGTTTTGGGAAGCACAATACTACCAGGAATGATAACAGAAGGCGCAGTCACTAATGGAGCCCCTTCTGCGTCCCAGGGGCCGCGCCAGGGAGAGACGCAGAGAGGTAAAAACAGCCCGTGCAAAGTGGAGCGACGTGGTATCAGTGAGTCCAAGTCAGCCTGGCTCTAAAACTGGATGATCTTGGAGCGTAACTACCCAGAGAGCGGGGGTGCTGGGGGGTGGCTCGCGCCGCTCCAGCCCCGACGTGTGCTGGCCCCCAGCTGTGGCTCCGGCTTGCTGGGACAATGACGGAGGCCTTGCTGGTGCAGGCGACAGACGCGAGCCCTGCGTCCTTGCCCGTCACAGCTCCGGGACTTTAGCGAGCTCCTGGGGTGGCCCCAAGGATGGGCTGGTAACACTTGGCGACGTTGCGTTATCTGCAGTTTTAACTGATTAGAGCGTCTTCAACTTCTCTTGTATTTAAGCCTTAAAACAACCGTGCCCGCCAAAAGCCTGCTTCTCTTGCTGAAAGCTCTGAGCTGACAAATGGATGGCTATTAACAGCAACTGTTGCAAGCACAGACACAACAGTTTCTGGGGACAGCAAATTTCCCCGTGGAGTCCGATTCCTCCGGGTGTTTGCAGGGTCTGGCCGTTGCTCCGGCAACTCCACAATTATGTTTCAACACACCTGCTCAGGGACACTGCTGGGTGACACACCCACCCTCCTGGCGGCCGAGTCTGGGGGCTGGGGCCTGGCGAGCGGAAGGCCCCCTTCTCCTGAATCAGGCTTGCCTTTTTAAATAGTTTTATGAAAGAGAAATACCCTGGCACTGCACTGTCATTATGAAAAGTCACCTTGAGGTTATTTGATCCAGGGCTGCAGCCTTAAGTTGAGTTCCTAAGTTTCCCAGCAGGAAAGGCTCGTGGGCTGGAACCCCGCTGCACCAGCCGAGGGGCTGGACCTTCAAGCAGGCCTGGGATGCGGTCGCCGGATGACTGAGGGCATTCTTGAACGTAGAAGCTGTGCTTTCTGACCTGCCTTTTCCCTCTTCCTGGGTGCACTCAGGCTGAAAGGGGCACCATGCCTGCATCAGCCAAAGGTCCAGGTTTGTCGGTGTCTCCACCGACCTGCCCCCGGGCACCGTTCCAGCCCAGCCCAGGCTATAAACCAGCCTCCTTCCTCCTCACTTGTCCTCCTAGAAAGCTCAGGTTTTGCTTATCTCCTTGTTTGTGTTTGCATATGATAAGGCTAGGGAGGTGCCGCAGCCTTGGGGGCGGGGAGAGGGGGGGAGGCAGTGTTAGGAGCTTGCCCAGGATCGAGTCCTTCCTTTACAGAGGCCCAGACGTCACCCTGAAAGAGACACATGTCTTGGAGGCCCCGCTGAACAGGAACATTCCTTTCTGAGGTGGGCCAGGGCCCCAGGCTTCCAAAGGATGGCCTTCCATGCTTCGTTCTCCTGCGGAAGCCGACGGGCTGGAGTCTGGCTGGTGGGAGGCAGCTTCAGGGGCAGCTTCACATGGGGGAAAGCGTGGGGCCGCGTCCGTGGGCTCCAGTCCTGTGCGGAGGGTGACCTTGGAAAAGGCTTCTGACCTTGCGCCCACAAGCCCCGCCCGTCCCCGCGGCTGCCCATCCCTGGCACCACGGGAGATTTTTCTACAAGGGCATTTTTGGCGGGCTTCTAGCAGACATCCAGCTAGGGGTGGATTTATGCTGCATACAGCTGGTATCGCTCTTTCGGAGACCTTATGTATGTCCCTACATAGAATTCTAATTCTAATTCCCGCTTGAGCGGGAAGGGACTGCAAGAACCTTCTAGCTGGTAATTGTTTTCCAACAGATGGAGTCAAGTCCTTGAAAGTTTACATGCCGTGGAGTCACCAGCATGACTATCGTCATGACCACCCTCCACCAGGCACTCTCCCCGTCACCACCTCCGTCTATCCCACCAACACTCACTGCGCAGGTGGGGAGGCTGAGGCTCAGAGGGGCCGAGCGGCTCGCTCAGGGTCACGCGGCAAGTGTGAGGCGGAGGTAAGCTGCAAGTCCAGGCCTACCCGGCGTTCCTGCCTTCTGGCGCTCTGCTTCTAGAAAGGATGGCGTCGGCCTGCATGGGTGAGCATGCTACTGTCTCCACCGTGGTGCCCAGGCCGCCTCCTGCAGGGAAGTTGCTCAGACTCTAAGTGCCACACGCCCCCCTCAGGCTTGCCTCTTGGTCACGAACGGGTGTGTTTTGGCATGCGAGGCCACTGGTTGGCCCGCGCCACGAAGCCCCTCTGCCCCGCGGATAGGGGCTGCCAGGCAGGAGCAAGCACAGATATTTCCACTGCCCGGGTTCGTGGTCCTCTAACGTCCCGAAATTGTGTTTTCTGCTTGAAAGGATCAAGTGGAAAAGGCGTGGGTTTTCGTGTCAGACCTGGGCTCAAATCCTAGCTCCCGTTGCTGGGATTACCAGCAAACTGCCCACCCTCTGCTGGTAAGCTTCAAGGCAACCCAAAACTACAAAGCACAGTTGTAGTTCACCTACAAGTTCACCTCCCCCCCAGGGAAAAAAACCAACCCCCTTTGTCATTTTAGCCACAGAAAATCCCCGTTAAAGCCTTGTGATTCGAACCCACCGGGAGGCTTTCCCATCTGCAGAGCGACTCCTCCACGGTCCCGTGCTGTGGCCACCGGGAGATTCGGGCTTTGGGACTTAGGACGTTTTCATATGCTTCTCTCTGTGTATTTTTAAAAATTGAAGTATAATTCACATGTGTGTGCTCAGGAGAGTCGATTTCCTCATAAAACCGTAGAACTCTACAACTAGACGAGAACTTAACGAGGTTCCAGACCAACAACCCTCATTTTCGAGTGAAGAAAGGCAGCGAGGAGCTCTATGAGCTGGTCGAGGGCAGAATCGTGAACTCAATCTGTTTTCGACTTTACCGTTCAGCTCCTCCTGCTCCTTGTACTTTTCATGGCGAAAGCAGAACTGAGAACACCACCAGCCAGGGGCCTCTGATGTTGTCAACAGCATCGGTCACCCAGAGGAGCTGATGCGGGCTGGGCCACCCCTGGCATCTGCGGGGGGGGGGGCCTCCTGACCTGCCCCCCAGCCCAGTAGCCATGTGCTCGCTTCAGTTAAAAGCAAGATGCACCACAGTTACCATTCTATCCATAGCAACACTGATGGAAATCTGTTAGCAAAGCGCAGCCGGAGCTCAGCCAGCCTTGTGCATGGGATTCTCAGCCCTCGCCCTGGGCTCGGGACGGGGCTCTTTAGTGCCCCATCATGGACGCTCCTGTCTGCTAACAGCTCCCGGGGAGGCCGCCCCGGGGACTGAGGGTGACTTAGAAAAGAGTCCACCAGTAAAGCCCGGTCGTATAGTGAGACTACCTGGAACAGGGACTGCATGCAGGTTGGCGCTGACGGAGAAGGCAGCGTGCTGTTTCTCGGAATTTCTTTACGTGAACATCTTGCTCGTTACATATTAGTTTGTGGAATTCTTTGGTGGTGGAATTTAAGCTGCCACTTTTTCATTCAAAAGACATCTTCTTTTTTTTTTTTTTTTTTAATTAAAGAAAAGCCTGGAAACCTTCTAGGACGGGCATGCATCTCAGAAAGGTTTTCTCTGCCTTCCGGGGGCACCAAAGGGGATGAGGTCCCTGCCGCCCCCTGGTGGCAGCGCTGAGTTCTGCACCCGCTCTGGTCAGCTGGGGTCAGCTGGGGCCCAGAGGGCCACATGGACAGAGGTGAACAGACAAGAGCCGGCCTTTCACTTTGTCCTCTGTGCAGGACGTCGATCTCTCAGGAGGGAACTTGCGTGACCTCCGTGTAGGTAGACGCTGTCCCAGCAAAGGGCAGTCCGACAGACAAACTAACACACGGGTTCCTCTGGTTTCATTTTCCAGGGATCAGCGGTGGCCCCTTGGAAAACCTCTACAGACTAAAGCAGTTCCATTTCCACTGGGGGGCGGCGAACGAGCGGGGCTCAGAGCACACGGTGGACGACCACGTGTACCCGGCAGAGGTTGGTAGACGCCATCCTCACAGCAGCTACGTCGTGGGGGCTTTCTACGCCCCAGGCTGGCGTGTAGGGTGACCGGCCAGCCTGAGTGCCCAGGAAGGGAGCATTCCCGGGACACTGGACTCTCGGGGCTCAAACGGGAGCAGTGGGCCGCCCTACCCATCCAATCACACAGCTGTCCTAAGACCAGGGTACCGTTCACGCTTCCGTCCAACAGAAGGAGAGACTGAGGTTCTAAGTGGCTCTGGGACTTGCCAAGGTCCGCAGCTGGGATTCAAGAGCCGCTCCCTCAGCCACGTGCCCGCTGCTGGTCGATTATGGACTTAGAAGCTTCCGGTCCTTTGAGGCACTCGGGGCCTTTGACGGAGATCTGAAAATCCTTACAACAGAGATCATCTTCTTGAAGCGATGAGATGTTTGCATCATTCCAAAATGGGATTCTGTAGAGAAAATCGGTAGGGATAAATGTTAGGAGTTGGTGTTTGCAGCTGTGGGGGGGGCGGTGCAGTAAGTGGTGTTTATAGACTTCCCCCCAATATTTTATTATGAAATTTTTCCAACATACAAAAAACCCCACAAAACCCTGGAAGAACTGTTCCGTGAGACCCCGTGAGGCTGCCACCCAGATGCAATGGTTAACAGTTTGCCATATTCACCTTCTCACTCCTCTGTCCATCCACCCGTCCCTCCGTCCACCCCCCGAACACCTGACCTCCTGATGCATTTCAGGTTATGGACAATTTTTATCTTAACTTTTCGCTGCCATTGTTATGGGAGCAGGGCTACAGTTAAAATAGAGCTGGGATCCAGTCAAACTAAAACATGAACACCACCTGCAATCTCACACCCAGAGGTGACCTCTGGGGACAGTGTATAAACAGGAAGTTACACCTGTTGTTATAAGTGCGGACATGTTTACAAATAACACAAAAGCGAAGGAGTGGGGCTTGTGACATGCTCTTTCTCATTCGGCAGCATGCCTTCTGTCTTGGTAACTGTATGTCTGCACGTGGTCTTCCATGAGCAGATGCTTTAACAGAAGAGGCGGCTGCATAGAAACAAGACTGGAGCTTGGCCCCCCAGTGGCTCTCCCTGGGTCAGCCGAGCAGGGGCTGCCGGGCCCATTCTGGCCGTGCCTCTGGCCCATGCGGGAGCCTCCATTTCCTGTGGGGGTTTGGAAGGCAAATCCAGTTTGAAGGTGGGGTCCCTGAAGGAAGCAGCCTGCAGTTGGGGCATTGGGCCCAGCTGTCTTGATTTCTGGACGACTGCACTGGGACGGTGGGGCGGGGGTGGTTTCCAGGTGAGTCATGCACGGGCTGGGAGAGGCCAGGCCACCCTCGCTGGCCCCAGTGCCATGGCTGGGAGCACTGGGGCTCGTTGGGAGTGAGGTGTCACCTGGACCCCGCACCCTTGGCAGAGGCCCCCCAGCCCTGCAACCCAGCAGCTGCACGGGGAGGGTCTCGTTGACCACGACAGGCTGGAGGGCTTTCTGGACTGTCGGTGTGGACTTGAGGCTTGGGTCACCACTCAGAAAGGCCTGTAGCACAGCTCATCCTGTAAAAGGACCGATGTGCGGACACCCAGGCCCCTTCTTGGGTCTGGGCCAAGCTCAGCCTCAGCAGGACCACGAGCCCCCATCACACAGAACCCAAGCCAGGCCCCGGCACCTGGCCTCCCCTGTTTCCCCGCTCGTCCTCTGCCCCTTACTTAAATCCTTGTCAGCTGGCCAATCCTGATGCCGAGTTTGGGCTCGGGAAAACCTAAGGAGGAACGCGAAATAGGGACATAGATGAGGTTCAAAGGAGAATGACAGACGTGGGGGGAGAATGCAATTTGGACGGCATACTCACATTAAAAACTGTGCGTCGTTTATCTGAAATTCAAATGTAACTGAGCGTCCGGGTGCCGATCTGGCAAGCTGGCTCAAGGATCTCGGAGTGAGAGCGTACCATCCCGCCGCCAAGTCCTATTTCACACCGTGAAGCCGAGCCTCCTTTCCCTCCCGCCGGAAGTGCCCAGACCCTTACCGTCTGAGCTTCTCTCCGAGTTTGGGAGCCCTAAGCAGGCGGCACACCTGAATCCAGTAAAACCGGACAATGGGCGCTGGGTCCGGCCCAGAAGCCGGAGCAGATGCTGTACGTCTTGCCGCACCGTGATCAACGTAATTCCTTTCTTCTCTCTTTCAGCTGCATTTAGTTCACTGGAATTCGGTGAGATACCGAGATTACAAAGAAGCCGTAACGGGGGAGAACGGCGTGGCCGTGATAGGCGTGTTTCTAAAGGTAAGCTTGCTGGGGCGCGGCTCCCCCAGCGAAGCGGGTGAACCACCGTCCGTGGAGCGTGGGGTGGGCTCGCCCTCCCGCCTGCTGCCTTCACACCCCGGCCTTTCCCGTCTGTGCCGTGCAGCTGGGGGCCCGGCACGAGGCACTGCAGAAGCTGGTGGAAGTCTTGCCGGAAATCAAGCATAAGGTAAGCTGCGTGGTTTGCGCTCGGCACAGCCGAGAAGCACGTCTGCTTAGATTAATGACTCACTGGCAACAACAAAAAATCTAATGGGTGGAAGGGTCTGGCTGAGGGGGTCTGAGTCCCCGGTCCAGGGCTAGGACTCCCTGGGGCTGATTCCAGCGCGTCCCCAGCGGGCTCACTCCCGGACATCCGCGGGTCCCTGCTCCCCGAGGATCCCTCCCTCCTCAGTACAGCGGGGGTGCTGGACTCCCTCCGACTTTCCCAAAATTCAGCCGCTCAGGCAGCATCTTAAGGTGTTTGCCATGTCCGCCTGTCACTGGTACTGTTCGTTACGTAGTATTTTTCCTTACACCGATCAGCCTTGAAAGACTCTTTAGACTTCTCCCAGGCAACGACATCTCCTAGGGATGATGTTTGTTTTAAAACCGACTGCAGTAAATACCTGAAGTGTCATTTAGGAGTGCTCACACGCATGCCACCTGCCACACTCCCGGTGCGGGATCTCAGGGTCACCCCGTCCCGGGAGAGCAGGGAGGCCAGGGAAGGGGAGGAAGTCCAGCCCGCTGCTCGCCCTCCGCGAGCGCGTCTTCGCTCGGCCCCCCGGTGCACCTCAATGCACTAAACTCAGCTCAAACAGACAAGGACAACAGTGCAGCTTTTCTCCAACATCAGCTGAGAAAGGACTTTGATGGACACATGGAAATTCCCAAGAAATGCAGTTTATTTGTTCAGTACCAAACAAAAGAATTCCGGGACGCGAGCAGTCCTGGTGGTCCCTGGACGGCGACGGATGGGCCCGGACCTGTCGCAACAATGGCCCGAGTGGCTCCAGATGAAAGCAGGGGGCCAGCCCTTCCTCGGCGGCTTCACGGGGTCTGTTTGATGTGGGCGGTGTGTTCCCCTTGATGTTGACCTCGGGGCTGGCCCCGTGGGACCAAGACCAGATCACCCCCTGCTGCCCCGTCCACAGGCTCAGGAACTTCCCAAGGTCAAGGTGCTGGGAGCATCCTCTTCCCCGCTGGTCTGCAGCCAGAGTAAACCGAGGATGTTTTCCCCGGGCGTCCACCTCCCACACGGCGTGGCCTCCACCTCTTGGTGGGAAGAGAAGGACCTGGCCGCGATGGGCTGTTTACTCTGGGGGCTGCTTTCCTTCCACGGAAGCTCTGGAGCGCGTCTGGCTCCCCAGAGCCATCTGGGTGTCAGCGAGGGTGACAGGGAAGGTGCCTGGGCCTCGCTTCTGGGCCTGACGCTTGTCTTTGGCCTCAGCTTCCTAACCTGAGAAGTAAGAGTGAGCTCCTAGGACACAAAAGGTCCAGCCTGCAGGGTGGGCGTCTCTGCCTCCCAGGTCGGGGGATGGGGTCCCGTTAGACTCAGTGGCCCCTCTCTGCGCCCCATGCTGGGTGCCCCCAACGTCCGGAGCCATTCTTTACATTGGCAACTTTAGACGCCATCTCCGTGGCCTGCCGTTCTGTGGTTCTGACAAACGCGTCGTCATGGATCCTCCCAAAACTTTAATTGGCGGGAAAGCTGTGGCGGGAGCATCCAGCTGGCCCTCCACACAGGCCGCCGCCTTTACCCCCACCCCTGCAGCCCCAGGGAAGGAGGGACAGCCAGCTTTGGGGTGGGACAGACTCCCGCAGCGTCTGGGCTCTGCCGCCGATTACGTGGCTTTGAGAAAGTCACGTCTACATACCCCGACGTTCCTCTTTAATAAAGTAGAAACACCTCTCGCGGGTGGATCTGAAACTTCGCAGTCACAGCCTCGGAAGCCCGTTCGGGGAGGGGGAGGCACGTGGATTTGCCACGGTGCTCCCCCCTGCCCCCCACACTTCTTGCATTTCGTCCCAAGTGCACCTGTGACCTGCTTCCTTCACGACGTCACCAGAGCACACAGGGTGATGTCATCAGCCTCGAGAGGGCCTGGGAGTTCCGACACGCCCCCCACGGAGGAACCGTGCCTTCAGACACAGGGTCTGGGGACGAGCATGTCCACCCCGTGCCTGGACGCCCTCCCGCAGTGCCGCCCGGGGCCTACAGCTTCGGTACCTCGGCGCTGGCTAGCGCGGCGTTGCTCCCAGGCCTGCGCCCGCGGCCTTGGTCTCCCTGGCTTTCCAGAGCAGCAGGGACCATGGTCCTGAGCCTGCCAACCCGAGGGACCCCAAGAGACCCTTCTGTCACTGAGCAAAAGCCTGCTGGAGGGCCCCTGGCTGGAGAACCAATAGGTCCTCCTTTGTCTGCACCCTTCCCTCACCCTGCACTGTGCTGAGTGGCAACCAGATTGCAGGCCCGGGACTCCTGCCCCTGCTGGTGGATTTCTTCAGGGGTTCCCTAGTCCTGGGCAGAAGCAGGGGGTCCCCTTCTGCAGGCTCCCTGCCCTCCACCACTTTACTGCTTTGGTTTCTCACTCCCTCCTTCCAGCCAGGTGGCCTCTGTGCTATTCCTCAAGCCCTTCAGGCCACACCCTGCCTCAGGGCCTTTGCACTGGCTCTGCCCACTCTCTGGAAGGCTCTTCCTCCAGAAACCTGCAGCCCTCTTCCTTCACCCCTTCCAAGTCTTCACTCAAACGTGTCCTTCTCTATGAGGCCTTGAGGACCATCCCTTCTTAACATGCCAACCGCTAACCCCCCCCCCCAGCATTTCTGATCCCACTGCCCTACTTAAGTGTCCTCCATCATGCTTACTGTGGTGGGAGCGACTTGATATTTCACTTACTTATTTTGTGTGTGCTCTGCTTTTCTCTGGTAAAAGGTGAGTCCCGTGAACGTGGGTAGTTTGTCCTCTCTGTCTCCTCCTGCCCCCCCTCCCCATGCCCAACAGAGAGTCAGGTGCGCACAACGTAGCTGTGGGCAAATGAATGAAGGAGGTGCCCCATCCATGACCCCCGGAACGCAGAGGGGCAGCTGTCCCCAATCCTTTGATGAAGGCTGGAAAGCTAGTAGGCACGGATTCTGACCAGAGGCTCCCACGTGGGGGAGGCGCTGACATGAGCCCCCTCGGCTGCAGCACGGGGAGCTTGGTGCTTGGTGGTCAAGAACAGCATCCAGAGAAGGAGAATCCTGGCATAATGGTCAGGGCGGCCTGCTTCAAAGAGAACACCAACTGTCTAGAAAGAGTAATATTTTCTGGGGCAGCCCTTGTGGGAAACAGTCCGGTGGTTCCTCAAAACTTAAACACAGAATTACCGTGGGATCCAGTACGTGCCCTTCTGGATATGTCACCCAAGTAACTGAAAGCAAGGTCTTGAAGAGACATGGGTGCATCATGTTCACAAGGGCATCCCTCACAATAGGCCAGAAGTGCAAGCGTCTGTTTTGGGATGAATGGATTAGCAAAACGCGGTCGATCCATGCAGTGGAATATTAGGAAGGCTTTTCTGACACCTGCCACAGTGTGGATGGACTTGGAGGGGACTGTGCGGAGTGAGGTCGGCCCGTCACAACGGGACCAACGCTGTGCGGCTCTGCTCACACGAGGCCCCCCGAGGACTCAGATCCACAGGGACGGGAAGTAGATGGGGGGCGGCGCTGGCACCGGGGGTGGGACGTGGGGGTTGCCTAACGGGGACAGAGTTTGCTTAGGAAGATGGGAATGTCCTGGAGATGGATGGTGGCTGGCGGTGGTCACACCACGTGAACGTACTTAGGGCCACAGAACTGTATGCTTAAACATGGTTAGGATGGTCAATTTCATGTTATGTGTGTTATTTTACCATTGTTTTAAAAAATGTCATGTTTTCACAGCGGAGGTATGCAAACAAGAATACCTTAGAAAGGAAACGTGTAAGCATTTGGTGGGCATCCCTGCTCTGCACAGGAGGGTCACATTTTCTTTACTGCTTCCAAATGTGACGACCGCGGCCTCACCGTCTTTATCCCGGGAACAAACCTGTCCCGTGAAGGCCTGGTCGCTGGGATAAAGATGGGACACCATCCCCTTCCTGCCAGCACCCCCCCCCGACCCCGCCACCACCGTCTCTGCCTGAGACCCAACGCCACCTGCGGTCTTGGTCTCTCAGGGTGCACGGGCTGCCGTGGGCCCCTTCCAGCCCTCCCGTCTCCTGCCCGCCTGTCGGGACTACTGGACCTACCCCGGCTCCCTCACCACGCCTCCGCTCAGCGAGTCGGTCACCTGGATCATCCAGAAGCAGCCTGTCGAAGTGGCTCAGAGCCAGGTGAGCTGCACTGGAACCGGCATGGGGGGAAGGGACTGAGGGCTCAAGTCCTGTTTGGGGCCACCGAGACACTGTGAGTGTGTGTCACGGGTTTCATTGTCCGGTGTGGTTTGGATTTTCCAGCTAAACAGGAGCTAGGCGGACAGTTACACTCTGGCTCTGTCTTAATCTTCAGCGGTTTTGAATTCAGGCGCGGCGAGTCTCCCTGATGACAAATGGCTGAACGAGGTCAGGGCTTTGCTCTGTCGTGTGTGTCGGTCTGAAGTTACTTTAGCAGGAACAGAAGTGACGTTAGAATTGGGACATGGGTCCCCACGATGGGACCTCTGTAGGTATTTGTAGGTGAACCAATTAACCAAGAAAGGAGTATCGTCGATGAATTTTGCAAAGCCGTGAAAGAAGTAGGATCATTGAAGGAGAGGAGGAGATTTTAGAGTTTTTTTCCCCCTTCTTTGGATGATAGAACAGTAAATAATTGAGTTTGCTGAGGTTTCTCTCACGGGCTGTATTAAGTTATACACATTGAGAGAAAATTCCAGAAGGATTAGGTCAGTCAGCCATTGCTACAACAATGCTGGTTAACAAACCACCCCAAAACTCAATGGCTCCTAACAAGCATCTATTTTTCCTGCTTTGGGTCTGTGGGTTGTCTGTGGATGGCAGGGGGTTGGGGTTTGGGTCAGGCCCAGGTTGTCTCGTGCTCCTTGGACCAGTGGCTACCCAGAGCTGGGTCCATGGTGCATGACAGAAATGCAAAAGACCAGCAGACCCCACATGCTCTCATGCGGCTGGCCACAGCAGGTCCCAGTGGCTGAGGTCCGGGGCGGGGAGGAGGTGAGCGAGCGCTCACAGAGTAATGCCCTAATCTGGCACACAAACTTACACCAGGAATTTAATACTGGATGTCCCGGGATTTCTGCACTGGTTCTAATTTCCTTCCTCTTCCTTTTCTAAATAGTCTCCCCCCACCACCACTCAAAGTAAGTAGATATTACTTGTTACCACTTAAAAAACTTAGAGTATCTTTTTCTCTGGAAATCTCAAGCACGCGGAGACATCGTGTCTGTGTCAGGCATTCAGAGTCTGGGGATGACAGACATGCAGCAAGCTCGTGGCCGCGGCCCCTGTCCCCATGCAGGGTGGGCCTTCCCTGCCAGTCTCTTTCTGAGGCTCCGGCCTCGTGATTCTGCAAACATCCTCTCGTGCAGAAGTCATGCAATGACGCTGTTTGCTTTGGAAGGCAGAGAGATCCATTCTTCTCCCAAACCAGAACTGTTAGTGACACAAGGAGGACCCTGGTCGACAAATGGCCCCTGGTCACCAAGACCCCTTCTGTCCCTCAGCACACACGTAATGAGCACCCATGCATGCCGGGTATTGCAGCTGAAGCGGGTGGGAGACGGGTAGCAGCAGATGCAGTGATGAGGTCCATCGAGAACAGTCTCTGCATGCTGCTGTTTGGGAGGAAATAGAAACACGAGCTAATTATTTTAAGACGGGGGTGAGTATTAAACAGCAATGCAGAACAGAAGCCCCTTACCCCAGGCAGAGGAACTGGGGAGGTGGTGAGGGGGTGGAGGGGGAGAGAAGCTGCCTTCCTAAGCGAGCCAACAGCAGGTGCAGGGCATCCTGTGCCTGAGCCCCAGGAGCCTGGGTCCTCCGTGCCCTCCGTGACCCTGGGGGCAGCCGCCAGCTTGCTCCACACGTGGTCACTGTGTAGACACAACCCAGGTCCGTAGGTCATCGAACATGCGAGTGATTCTCGCAGAGCTCCTCAGTATATTCGGAGAACAAATGAGGTGATAAAAAATGGACTTTTAGTTCCTTCAGTGAGAAGCGAGTCAAATGTTACTTCCTGTTGTATGTACTCGCTTAGTTTTTATGTTATAGGTGTTCGTTGACTGCTGCCGCATGGCGACTCCCAACGTTAGAGGCTTAAGGAAACGATCACCGTCAGAATCCCCCTGAGTTGCCAGGGGTCAGAGTATGGGGTGGTTCCGGCTTGGGATCGCTTGTGGCGTTGCAGTCAGATGTCCTGTGGGCTCTGAAAGCTTGAGCCGGGCTGGGGGCTCACTTGGCAGCCGGCAAGCCGGTGCTGGCTGTTGGCCGTGGGCCTCGGCTCCCCTCGTGGGTGCCGCTTGGCCGTCCTCACTACGCGGCGGCTGGCTTCTCCAGCAAGGATGCAGGAAACCAAGGCAGAAGCTTCGACGCCTCTTCTGACCGCGCTTGGGCGTCCCCTCCGCCGCCTCGTGCTGGCTGTGCGTGGCCATCCCTGATTCAGTGTGTGGGCAGGGGTGGGACGGAGCACGAGTGCGCACGGCAGGAGGGCCGTCTGGGAGCTGGTTCACTCCGTACCTGCACGCGGCCCACTCTGGTTGCTCTCCATTGCAGCTGGCTGCCTTTCGCATGCTCCTGTCTTCCGCGCTCGGTGAAGAAGAGCATTCAATGGTGGACAACTACCGTCCGCTTCAACCCCTGATGAACCGGAAGGTCCGTTCATCCTTCCAGGCTGCAGAAGGGGGCATCCGAGGGAATGTCACCTCTGACACTAAAAAGAGAGAAAGAGATCATTGTTTCAGTCACCGTGCGTTTCAGTTGCGGGGAAAAGAAACCACCTCAAAGAAGCCTCAGTAGGGTAGGGAACGGAAATGTGGGGACACGGGCTATCTCGGCGCCTACGGCAATGCCTGAACAAGCCCCAGCTGACCCGGGCCACCCGCCCATGCTTCCTTGTCTCAGGCAGGCGCCCTCTGTCTCTCCACACTCATGGCCCCCGCGTGCTTCCCGAGGGACGGGGACCCACATGAGTCTTCCCCGCCTCCAGACTCCTGGGCATCTCAGTGTCCTGGGGCTGTTGTGACAGATAACCAGACCGGAGGGGCTAACCCAACAGCGACGTGTTCCTTCACAGTTCTAGAAGCCCAGTTTGAAGGTGTCGGGGGGCTGGCGGGAAACCTTGGCTTCCTGGCCCGTCCCGGCCCCTGAGGCCGCCTGCGTTCCCCGGCTCGAGCCCCCGCTCCGGCTTCACGGCCTAGGGGGTTTCCAATGTGGCCGCTCAGGACCTGGTGCCGTTCGGTTGTGGTCATTCTGCTTTTTTTTTTTTTTTTTTAATTGTAATGAAACACACACCACATAAATTACCATCTTACCCATTTCCAAGTGAACGGGTCTGTGGCATTTATTGTATTCAAAATGGTATGCAGCCGTCCCCACCGCCCCACCCCAGAGCTCTCTGCATCTTGCAGAACTGGAA